GCACACACCCACACCTCGCACGCGCCTGCACCCCGCACACACCCACACCTCGCACGTGCCTGCACCCCACACACACCCACACCTAGCACACGCCTGCACCCCACACACACCCACACCTAGCACACGCCCCCACCACGCACGCGCCTGCACCCAGCACACACCCACACCTCGCACGCACCTGTGCCTCACACACACTTGCACCTCGAACACACGTGCAAGTTGCATGTACCTGCACTTCACACACGGAGCACTCGCTGTGGCAGGGCCTTTGCGTGTCACACGGCCCCCTAGCACGTGGCCCCCCTTCTCTTTGGGGTCTTTGCACAAATGCGCCTTATCAAACAGGCCTCGCGAGCACCACGTCTAAAGCACTCAGCCCTCCGTCCTCTCCGTTCCTTGGGGCTCTCCCCCACATCTGATGCAGGCACGTCTTCGTGTGTGTACTTCCTGCCACCCCCCCACCCCATGCCAGCTGCAGGAGGGCAGGGATGGCGCCTCTGTTCACACGGCAGCCCGGACCCGGGCACAGCGGAGGCCCTGCAGAAATGGTGGCTGTTAAACCAGTATGGCAAGCAAGCATTCTGTCAGTGGGCTCAAAGCCAAACTAACCGTCAATCCACAAGTAGCTCAGATTCGCACAGGACGTCATTCTTGTTCATCTGACACCTGCTGGGTGGCCCCCCGCTTACTCGCCCCAGGGGTCTAACAGGAAGGAGCATGGGGACCGATCAGGCTCCGGGGATTTCAAAGTCCCTGGTGGTGCAAATGGTTCATACTCGACTACTAACCACAAGGTTGGCAGTTCAAGTCCACCCAGAGGCACAGTGGAAGAAAGGTCTGGCTATCTACTTCCCAAAAGCCCTACGGAGCAGTTCTACTCTGACACACAGGAAACCATCAGGAGTCAGAGTCAACACCACGGCAACGGGCTTTCTGCTATCTCTGTCCAAACGAGGAGCCCCAGCTGAGTCCAGGAGCCAAACACCCTCAGAGCAGGGATGGTGACGTTGCGGCAGTGGCGAGGGCGCCCAGGCCTGAAGCGCCTGCAGCACAGGCACACGCAGTTGTCCCTGCGTTGCCCCGTCCCTATGCTGGCCGGTTGGCCCACTTGGCTGCAAGGTCCCAGCTCCCACACACTGCGAGGCCCCGGGAAGCGTCACTGAGCCCCGAGCTGAGACCACATGAACCGTCCCGGGCCAATGCCTCAGGGCCCGATCACCCGGATGACCCGTCCTTTGAGATCTGCGGGGCTGCTCGTTAAGTACTCATTACTGAGCCCTAATACTGGCATTAACCGCAGTTAATGCAGACATTTAAAGTCCAGCTGTGTTGTAAACAACCTAACCCGGAACCAGGGGAGCCCCGACAGGTAACGCAGCCCCAGGGACAGTGGCTCCGAAGAACCAGGCCCTAGGGAGAGAGGGAAGTAAACAGAAGGCGCTTCAGGCACTAATACCGTGGCAACAGTGGGGGCGGGTCCGTGATGACACGCAGTATCTTCCCAAATATTATCTTTAATAACATTTGGCATCTGGGTTAGTTTGTTTCTTCTAAGGGATAGTTGGTGTTCACGTGACTAGGTTATATGGGAAGCTGAAATGTACTACGAATATTTATGCCCTTATTAATAAAAATAAAATAGAAAAAGACATTTTACATAGGACTGTAGAGCACGTGACCCTAATGTAAACTGTGGACTTTAGTTAATAACAACGTATCAGTACTGGTTCATCCACTGTTACAGATATACCACAGGAGCGCACCAGGTTAATAACAGGGGAATAGTGTGCACAGGGGAGGAGGTATATGGGAATTCCGTATGTTCTGCTTAATTTTTCTGTAAATCTAAAACTGCTCTAGAAGATAAAGTGCATTTTAAAAAGACATTTCAATGTTTAAAGTGGAAACGTGGAGGCTGTCTTCTTAGAAGACAGCGCCTGCCTTAAACGCTGCATTTTCGAAGCATGTGAAATAGCTCACCATCTGCTGATGAGGCTCCGGGGAAGAACCGCCTAGAAAACGACGCTCCCACTCACACCTGGCACAGAGAGCGGCTTAAAAAACAGCAAGTATGAAGAAAATCATAACGTTTTCTGAATCTAAGTGGTTCCAAAGTCCCTGGGTAGTCCTGAAGAGAACATATTTTTGAGCATCAATTCCCCAGCGTGCTCCCCACGAGCGCGCCCCATAGAAAGGGCTCCCTCAACACCCATTTCTTTACAGCCAAGGTCTCGCTCTGCTGGCTCCTTTTTACAAACCAACCCTTTTCTTCATAAATGCAGCTTTGCTAAAAACGATTAAAAATAAACATTTATCCTTCATTTACACTTCGAATATCAGCTGTGCTCATTCTCAGCAGATCAAACGGGGCAAAGAGGAAACAGGTGATGTCCCAGAACGAACACCATCGGTAAGCCCAGCCTCTCTGGGCCCTCTCCTTGCCCAG